TGAGTTCATTAAAAAGGCTATCAATTTCTGGAGAAGGCATGTGGCTCAACCCAACTATGAAGTCTATGAGATGGCATTAGTCAGGAAGATTGAAATTTAGGAGGTCAATTCCAAGAATCGGACAAATCTTTCATAAGGAGCCTCAACAATTTATCTGAAATAGAAGCTTTTTTTCTCCACCAGTCTGGTCAGAATACAATGATTCTGACCAGACTGTAGCTAATAATAATAATAATAATGTCCCCCTTATGTCTCATAGGCCTCATTTCCAAATTTCCTTCCTTCCTTGGATTTGATCCATTTTTTTTGTGGGAAAACAGAAACAGATATCAATCTAGCCCTGCTGATTCGTGCCAGGTACATTCCTTCCGAAACTCATCTTTTTTTGTTGTTGTTGTTGTTTTGGCTGCTCCACGTGTCTTCTGATGGGTATGATGGATGGACCGATGAGGCTCCTGGTTGCCAAGGACAGATTACACTAGTCCTTCCAAACTGAAATGAATTGGGTGTCAACTGACATTCCAAGTTGTTTCAGAAAGATATTATTATTTTCGAAGGAAACCCGTGAACTGCAGTTTGGAAATAATTGCAAAAGACATCTCATTTAAACACAGTGGCTTGGGTGAAATGGGAGACGGCATTAAAGCATTTTTTTCTATAATACATGCATTCATCTCCAGAGTGGATTGCAAATGGCACAAAATGTGTATACGACTCAAAATTGGTTTAGCTGCCTGGGTTTCACCCCCAAACTATTGTTCTTTATTCATGTCAGAAGCACCTACAAATTATAGTTATATAGCATTCAATACCGAGCAAATAAAATAGGTATAAAAGAGGTCATCCCAAAGGTGCTTTTCCAAAGACAACAGGCCTTCGTTGGCGCTTTTTTTTTGTCCCCTTGAAAACATTTCGCTTCTCATCCAAGTGACCTTCAATGACCTTCTTCAGTTCTGAAGGTCATTGAAATACAAAACGTGCAAAAAATATGTAGAAAAAGTGACATTCGCCCAGAGTTGAGCCATATCAACTCCCTCACCAACATGAGTTCTTCCTCTGTACAGGTTGAAGAACATCATATGCACCATACCATGGATTGCTCTTCACTACATTCGCCCAGAATATTCAATTAAAGATTTAAACTAATATATTAAAAGCCAGCCATCAATACACCCCAATCGACATCTAAAAAGCCACTTAGAACAGAGACTATAAATACCACAAACAGAACAGCAAACACACCCTGCTAGAGAGATGTTCCAGAAAAAGTCCAAAAGCTTGGAAGACAAAACTTTTGGTCCCAGTGACTGACTCAGATTGGATCCTGCTACTTCATCCTGGGACAAGTAGATTTGCCTTCATTCGACAGAATATCATCTAGAGCAGAGTTCCTCAACCTTTGGGCACCAGAGACCGGTTCCGTGGAGAGAGGTTTTTCCACGGACCGGAGAGTGCGTGATTTTGTGTGCTGCCTGCATCCCACGGATGGGGCTTTGCTTGTTTGTGTGGCCCAGTTGGCATGCCAGGGCCCGGTATTGGTCCATGGACTGGGGATTGTGGACCCCTGGTCTAGAGCAGGGGTCTTCAAACTTGGCCCTTTTATGATTGGTGGACTTCAGCTCCCACAATTCCTCAACCAGCGTGCCTGCTCTAGAGTGAAGCCCCATTTTCTTAGATTGTCCCATTCTGGCACACAATCTATGTGGTGATTTCCATACCAGCCAAGATTGTTCTTGACCAGGTGACAGTCTTGTTGTTGTGGTTCCGGCTAATGAAACATTCCAAAGAACTTCCAGGCATTGATTTTCCTAAAAGTCTTTTATTGTTACAAAATGTCGGCACAGACACAATGGAGGGATGCTAGGATCTCAGTTCTCTTCCTCTGAGCAGTTAAATTATCAGCATGTTCCCTCCCTAAATTAGCCGTCATATCTCACACTATCCAATTAGTGTGAAGGTCAAATGTTTTCTTTCTCTTTCTTTCCCGGGCTTTACCCCCAACGCCCCTTCTGCTCTTTATTAACCCCATATTTACCAGACAATTCTGCATATTGTCAAAAGCAAGAATATTCAATATTTGCAGCATTGACACTTGTGGTGGTGCCCAGTTGTCCAGTAACACCTTACTCACTTATTTCCATAGATCCTGGGTAGTCTATGGTGTTTGGTTGTTAGGAGGGGCCAAGGGTTTGAGGAAGATGTTCCTTAGTCATTGCATTGTTAATGTCTGGCCCCAAAGAAGAAATGTAGCTTTCCCTATTACTACAGAACCCGAGTTCACTTAACAACAACAATCTCTTTATTTTTATTTTATTTATATATCAAATTTAGAGGCCAACCATCTCGCTCACAGAGTGACTACAAGCAATGTACTGTTAAAACATATTGGGTTTTTTTTTTTTTAGTACTGTTAAAATCAGAAGAAACGAAGGACAGATCACATGGATTCCATGTTTTGGTAAATGAGAACCAAGGGACATTTTGTCTATGGAGATTCTCAGTCATCCAGGTCATGGTTGTCCCAAAGATACTTTTTCAGGCAGCAACTGGACATTCTTGTTTTTCTTTGAAGACATTTCACTTCTTATCCAAGAAGCTTCTTCAGCTCTGACTGGATGGTGGAGAATGGAAGGGTTTATACGCCTTGCAGACAGCAAGAGAGAATGCAAATGACCAGCCGTCTGCAAGGAATATAAATTCTTCCATTTCCATCCAGAGCTGAAGAAGCTTCTTGGATGAGAAACAAAACATCTTCAAAGAAAACCAAGAAAGTCTAGTTGCCTACTTACACAAACTCATGGAGTCGCTGTGAACTTTTAGAGTTTCTGGCTAGTTATGGGAAGAAATTATGGAAGAAACAAAAGAATCACTGCATGTTACACAAAATCTCAGAAATGTTTTCTCAGGTGGGATTGGATCTCCCGCTGTTCACAAATAAGTCGGTGCAGAAATCCACTGATTACAGAGCCATCTGCTGTGGGTAATTTTTGTTATGGCTGTAGTTATAAAATTAGAGTCTAATGATTTGATTTCATACCACTAATTACATCCTGGCATGCTGTTTCTAATTATATGTTTTCTCCCAAAGCATTTTTACTGGCTGCTGGGTATAGGCTGCTCATGTTATCCTGCCATTTTAAGTGGATTTTGGAATGTCAATTTTTTCTTCTCAGCCATTGAACAATGCAAAATTGTGCTGAAGGCAAATAGCCAAGGAAAACAAAGATGTCACTAGGGTTCTCACCTGTTCCTTGAAGGTATCTAAATGTCAGTATTTTTAATAGATATTTAACTTTCATTTGAATAACTTCAGTGAAGGAGCAGTCACCGCCTTCCTTGATAATTGGTTCTGCTATTAACTTGCTCATATTATTGGGGCATTTATCTTAATATTTCACCTGAATCTAACTTCCTGGGTCTTGAGATCATTTATCTATGACTTCTTCTCTGGAATGACTATAATAAGGGCATAGAATTGGATCAGTGCCATCTAGTGGCTAAATTATATGATAACATTATCCACACATGACTCTGTTCTTAAGATATTTTAAACTGTTTTATTTTCCCACCATAAATGAGAACTTTGTGGGAGAGAGGGAAACCTCATATCAAGACAACATCCGAAAAGTTTTATTTGGGTTCAGTACATAAATTTGAAGATACTGACTTTCCACCTCATAGTTCCATAGCATATGTTTGATCACAGAGTTACAGTTTTCCTCAGATCTCTAGAAAAAAGAGAATTATAGATTGTCCAAGGCAGACTGGCTTCAAATATTTTTTTAATGCTTTATAAATAAGAACATTTGACTTTTCCAGTGTTTCCATCATACTGGCTGAAAAAGAAAAGGAACATGAGAACTGCCAATTTCACCAATCGAGAATATTTCTACTGGTGCTCAGAGTACTGGAAATATAGTTTTTATATGATCCGAAGCAGGAACATTGCGAGAAAAGTTAAGCATCCTTGTAATTTTTTGCAGCAGTCACACAGTGTTTTGCAAGGATAGGCAAACCGTGAAGCTTTTGTGAGGCGTATTTCCTGAGTAACATAGCAACGGGCAGCTATAAGGTGTGATCTCTGCATCTAAAAAGACCCACATTCCCCAGTTAGTGATGTTCTACCACAATGGATATTATCTGCAAGAGTAATGTACCCTAATTAACATCTAATGGAGCTGATACAGGAAATGTCAGGACATAGTTCAAGGATAAAAGAAATACACAGTCTTATCTATTTAAGGAGTCCTTTGTGCTTTCCTTATTCCTTTAAATCAATAGGGGTAGATTGCACAATTAAATTATATCTCATGCAAAATAATAAAAACTTGGCTTTGCTCCAGGCTGCCTTAACCAAACCTTTCTACATTGTAAGCTCTGGTGAATAGAGATATCGCCTTGTCTTAAATAACACAAAGTCTCTTGTATCTTTGGATCCAATATATTTCTATCCAAAATTTATTTCACTTGTGGAGAGGTGAAGTTGTTGTTGGTGGTGGGCAGGGGCGGGAACACTTTGTGACTGACTTTTATTTACAGTATAATATTCCTTTAAAAATTTGAGAGGTCAGATAGATCAGGCTGCAGGTAAGAGACCCCTTGGTTTCAACATGGCAACATGGAGAATGGTCTTCAGGTCACCGCTCTGCTAAGACCTTGAAAAGAATCTTAAGTTCCACGTAACGTGGATGGTTTGTATCTGTGGATGTGTGGGTGTTTTTTTTTTAAATGAATCTCTTTGGTCCACCTTTTACTGTCTACACTTTTCAAAATGTTTACTCAAGGATTGCCATAAACTGCACGCTATTGAACCAAGGATGCAATCCAGGTTGATTTGAGCCAAACCTTATCTGCATCATATAATCATGATCATGGGAGAAGAGAAACAGAGAGAGAGAGAGAGCAATAAATACTAGGTCATTTATACCTTGCAACCTCCTGATAATGCTGGGAGAGAGTAAACGGGGTGGGGGTGGGTGGGGGTGGGGAGCTAGGTAATGATTTGTCATCCGGGGAGCTCAGAGTAGTAGTCAAACCTTCTGTGTTAGAAACCCTAGCTGTGATTGACAGCTGGGTTTGCGGGGGCCTTGCCCGCCTGTGTTGACAGGAATTATGAGGATTTGTCAAAGCCTAATGGACATGGAAATGCCAGATTATGCTGAGTCTCTCGACTCCTCGTACACCATGCTAGAGTTTGAAAACCTGAGGGTGCTGCCCACAAATTCAGCAGGTGAGGAGATCCTTCTTTCCTCTCTCCAACCAGCCTCTGTTATCTTAGTTGCCCTCTTGGTGGACAAAGGATACGGTGGGGTCGAAGGGTGGATAGTGGCAGCCTGTCCTGGTGAACTTTCCGAGGAACAGAAGTATCGGGCTGTGGGACCTGGCATTCGATGGCAGATCAAACTTCTGGAGAACTTTCCTGGAGCAGAATGTAGAGAAGGTTTCATTAATCGTTCTCGGCAGGATAGTTCGGGCTTTGTTGGACCTAATAAGGCCAAATACTAAGCCCCATGGATTAGGATTATGTCTGGATGATTGTCTTCCTAAAATTGGTGGGTAGATTTCAGAAATAAGGGAATGCCTTTCCTACAACGGGCCAGTGTGTTTGTCAAGAGCCTTTGGTAAACGAGATAGCACACAAAAGAGTTAAGCCATCTCATTTAGAGAATGAGCGCATATAGAAACAGAGCATGAAATAAACAAGTGTTCCTTTGGGGGAAATAGATAATTTAGCAGTCTTGTCTCCATGAAATTACTTTCTCTGCCTACCCACCATTGTCTTTTTCCTTTTGCTGGGAAAAAAAAGGCCATCTAGAATCCCTTGTTGCTTAGCAAACGTTGATGTGTTTTTTTCTTCACAACATCAAACTTCACAGAAAATTAGTGTAGCTTGGATTTGTGTCCGCTGTTCAAACATTCACCTCCATAGGTGCCAGATTATCACCGGATCATATTGTTTTTGTGCTCAGTAATCTACAAAGATTATGCTAGAATAAATATGTGACTCTTTAAGGCTGGTGTTAAGTCTCTGGGCTGTTTTACAAAATGTTGTGATTGATGTTTGCATGTTTTGGAGACTGTAAGAAACATGGCGTTAACGTGATTTTTCCTTTGGGATATTTTTTTGTTTATCCACATATATCTTGCTGTTCAGTTCTCCTAAAGTATACTGTTTATTAATTCAGTGCAAAGTTGTACTTCTTTTACTAAGGGAGTATGTCCCTGCTGTTCTGAATCAGAGAATTGTAGGGATGGAAGGGACCTTGGAGGTCTTCTAGTCCAACCTCCCCGCCCCCCGCCCAAGGCAGGAGACCTTATACCATCCTGGTTGTCAAACTTCTCTTGAAGACCTCCAGCGATGGGTCTGAATCTTGCTAAAAAGCCAATGAGAGCAGCAACTATAGAAGTTCCTGGTTGGATGAAAATCTAGAGATTTAAAAAGTGAGAAATACTGGTTTTATGAGAATGGATTGTAAAGCTATAAGATTTTACAATTGGTTCTTCAGTTCTATAAGCCACAGAAAATCACTTGATAATTTCACAGTGGATTGGAAAGCTTTTATTTCATTTTTTTAAAGAACAAAAATATGGACTACGGGAACAGAGGAAAGTATTTCTTTAGTATGTTGTTGTTGGTTGCGAAGTTGTGTCTGACCCATCGCGACTCCATGGACAACGTTCCTCCAGGCCTTCCTGTCCTCTACCATCTTCTGGAGTCCATTTAAGCTCATGCCTCCTGCTTCAATGACTCCATCCAGCCACCTCCTTCTCTGTCATCCCCTTCTTCTCTTGCCCTCCATCTTTCCCAGCATCTGGCCCTTCTCCAGTGAGTCCTTCCTTCTCATTAGGTGGCCAAAGGACTTGAGTTTCAACTTCAGGATCTGGCCTTCTAAAGAGCAGTCAGGGTTGATCTCCTCTAGGACTGACCAGTTTGTTCACCTTGCAGTCCAGGGGACTCACAGGAGTCTTCTCCAGCACCAGAGTTCAACGGCCTCCATTCTTTGGCGCTCAGCCTTTCTTATGGTCTTCTTTAGTATACAATTGCCAATTCTGACTTCCAAGCAACATTCTGGAGTTTTAGGAGACCGAAGGTGTTTTTTCCAACAGGACTTTGTGAAGTCAGGCGTTAAGTTGAAAACCCAGGCCTAAAGAATACAGGAAGTCCTCGAGCCCCAAATTTCTGTTGTTAAGTGAAACATTTGTTAAGTGATCTTTGTCCCATTTTACTACTTTTCCTGCCACTGTTGTTAAGTTAGTAACACAGTTGTTAAGTGAATCTGGCTTCCCCATTGGCTTTGCTTGTCAGAAGGTCCCAAAACGGGGATCAATCACATGATACTGCAACTGTCAAAAATATGAGTCAGTTGCCAGGCATCTGAGTTTTGATCACATGGCCTTGGGAATGCTGCAACGGTTGTAAGTGCGAAAACGGTAATAAGTCACTGGTTTCAGTGCTGTTGTAACTTCAAGCGGTCACTAAACAAGCCTGTAAGCCCAGGATTTCTTGCAATAACAGACTTCAGAGGCAAGTTCTTTTACATCCAGGCCATGCTTACACACACTTTTTTTTTACAGTAAATCCATTTTTCGCCATTATGCGTAGACATCCTGATGTTGTGATTTTTATGCAAATCCATTTTCATGGACTGGTTTTAGATATCAATCATCTTTGTGCCTATCAAATGGGAAACATAGATGGAATATGAATTGACAATCCATCTCCTACCAGGTGGGGCTGAATTTAAATTTCTGCACTAAGCCTAAAGGCTCTTCTCAATTCAATTCAGTTCATTCCATTTTGTTTAATTGATTGATTGATTGAATTTATATAGCTGCCCATCTCACTCAGATGCGCCCCTGTGAACTCATTTTGTTCCCTTTCTGCAACAAAATGCGTCTGAATTCGCTCAGTTTCCAAAAGACTAGAATCTCGCTGTACGGTAAAAGTTCACATTGTAGACGCCACATGCTAGATTTTCCTAAAGGTGAAGGCTGTTTCAAACAGGCACTGCTGTATTTGCTTATAAGCTAATAAGTAAACCGGCTTGCTCAGGAACTAGCTGTTTTGAAATTAACGTGTTTACCTTGGGTAAGCACCCTCTTGAAACATTGGTCAAAACAGCTTTAGAGGAACTGAGCCAAAAGGTTCAGTTCTACAATCCCGTTAATGTAATCGAAGAGGTCTATCCAAGAACTTTACATGATGCACTAAGGAAAAAGTTCTTGCAAAATTTAGGGAAAAGAATCAAAGGGAGTCCAGTGAAGGAAAAGCATTTCCAAGCAATTAGAGAAGGGATCCTGGGCAATTGAGTATAAAGAAAAAAACGTATTTTCCGGTGTATAAGACGACTTTCTAAATCATGCAAATCTTGTCCAAAGTCGGGAGTCATTTTATACGCCCAGTCGTCTTATACGCCGGAAAATAACATATTTTCCGGTGTATAAGACAACTTTCTAACATGCAAATCTTCTCCAAAGTCGCGGGTTGTCTTATACGCCCAGTAGTCTTATATACCGGAAAATATGGTAAATGTCTTTTGCCAGCATTTTTATTCTTTGTAAGGTTTGACGGTAGGAATGGACAGAATAATAGAGTCGGAAGGGACCTTGAAGGTCTTCTAGTCCATACCCCTTCTTAAAAAGAAACCCTAGACCATTCCAGACAAATGGCTGTCCAATTTCTTCTTAAAAACCTCCAGTGATGGAGCATCACAACTTCTGAAGGCAGGTTGTTCCACTGATTATGGAACTGTTCTCATTGTCAGGAAATTTCTCCTTAGTTCTAGGTTGGTTCTCTCCTTGATTAGTTTCCATCCATTGCTTCTTCTCCTGCCTTCAGGTGCTTTGGAGAACAGGCTGACACCCACCCCCCTCTTCTTTGTAGCAGCCCATCAAATATTGGAACATTGCTATCATGTCATCCTTAGTCCTTCTTTTCATTAGACTAGACCTACCCAATTCCTGCAACTGTTCTTCATACTTTTTAGCCTCCAGTCCCCTAATCATCTTTGTTGCTCTTCTCTGCACTCTTTAGAGTCTCAACGTCCTTTTAATATCGTGGCGACCAAAACTGGATGCAGTATTCCAAATGTAGTCTTACCAAGGCATTATAAAGTAAAGCATGAAGATCAACACTTCTTAAAGTTGATGAGTCTGAGAATCATTGCTCCAAAGAATCCCTTTTGTTAAAAAAAAGAGGGGGGGGGGATGACAATGATAGACATATCCACAATATATTCCTAATCATATTTATTTATCGTATGGCACTTTTACATCATACTTCAGTAAAAGGGAACACGGGGCTAAAATACAGAACACTAACCATAAAATCTGAAATCTGAACAGGAATATTACAAATGTGTATCTAAGTTGCATATATATATATATTCGACTTCGTCGAAACGTCGCCAAGACACTTCCAATTTTACACGGGAGAAAACCCGAACAACCAAAGACCTACATACAAATACCCTATATATATATATATATATATATATATATATATATATATATATATATATATATAATATATAGGTCTTTGGTTGTTCGGGTTTTCTCCGAACAACCAAAGACCTACATACAAATACCCTATATATATATATATATATATATATATATATATATATATATATATAGGTCTTTGGTTGTTCGGGTTTTCTCCCGTGTAAAATTGGAAGTGTCTTGGCGACGTTTCAACGAAGTCCCATTCGTCATCTTCAGGCTGGTGTTTTCAGCTTCGTGCTCCTATATATGTGTGTGTGTGTATAAATTTTTTTTGCAGCCAGGAAATCAGCAAAATCTCCATTATAGGCTCTGTTTTCAACAGTGTCACTCTATGTGTTGGATAGTTTGTTTTTCAGCCCCACAATCACAATTCTGCAGTGGTATTGTGCTCCAAATCATAATGACTCATATAGAGGTAGATAATAAAGTGAGATATCTCTGAACATTGTTCCTGATACATCACAAGGTAAAACCATGCCAGTTCTCTAAGTTGCTGGCTGAAAAAAAACAACCTGTTCATACCCATCCACAATTGTGATATTGTATATAGCTAGCATCCCTGGGGGGGGGGGGAGGTATTTTGTAAAAGGAAAAACCTATCATTCAGGTCTTACACAACATCTGTGTACTTTTGTGGACAAATGAAGCATTGGGAAAGATATTAGCTTTAGCGTTCTAGGATTATTCTCTCTTGTTGAAGTCAAAAACTTCCTACAAGATTACTTCAGGGATTGCCACCACCAAGATTTAGATCCACCCTAAAATTTTATCTGTGGTCTTTCTTAGGCCTCCCCTGATTCACAGAATCTCCTTTTGGAGGGTGAAATTCACATACCTGGACTTCTCCAAGAGACAGCTATTAGTTTTGCTTGCACTTAAGTCCCTTTTCACACAGAACAGAATAGAACAGAATAAAACAGAATAGAATTACAGAATAGAATAGAATAGAATAGAATAGAATAGAATAGAATAGAATAGAATAGAATGACAAGAGTTGGAAGGGACCTTGGAGATCTTCTAGTCCAACCCCCTGCTCAGGCAGAAAAGCCTATACCATTTCAGACAAATGGTTGTCCAATCTCTTCTTAAAAACGTCCAGTGTTGGAGCATGCACAGCTTCTGGAGGCAGGTTGTTCCACTGATTAATTGTTCTAACTTTCAGGAAATTTCTTGCTAAAGACAATTCTGTTTCAGTGGCTTTTCAATTTTCTACTGAAGCTTAACAGTGATTTTTCTGCTGCTTCCAATATTTTTTTTTTTTTTTTGTCTCTTCTCTATACTCTCTTCTAGTCTTCGACTTGCCACTGTTTGCTTAGGGACAGTTCAAAGTTACAAACAGCACTGAAAAAAAGCGCCTTATGACAGTTTTTCACGCTTATGACCATTGCAGCATTCACGGGGTCATGTGATAAAAACTCAAACGCTTGGCAACTGGCATGTACCTAGGACGGTTGCTGTGTCCCAGGGTCACGTGATCATCTTTTGCGATGTTCTGACAAGCGTCAGAAGCGTTCTGACAAATGGGGAAGCCAGATTTACTTAACCACCGTGTTGCTGACATCTGCAGTGAATTCACTTAGCAGCTGTGACAAGAAAGGTCATACAATGGGGCAAAATTCACTTAACAAACATCTCTCTTAGCAACCAAAATTTGGGCCTCCGTTGTGGTCATAAGGCAAGGACTACCTGTGTTGTATTGGGCTGAAATCCTAGTTGTTATCTTTATTGGTTCCATATGGTTCTTAATAATGGCAACCGGCCATCTTGACATTTTTGATATGATGCCTGCCTGACAGCCTTTTTTTTTTTCCATAGAGGCCCTTGTCTCAGAGACCGGCAACAATGGCTTACTTGCAAATGGGGTCAACTCGTTGTGTGCCATATGTGGGGACCGGGCAACTGGGAAGCATTACGGTGCTTCCAGCTGCGATGGTTGCAAAGGGTTCTTCAGACGGAGCGTCCGGAAGAATCACATGTATTCGTGCAGGTATAAAAATGCTGTCCTTTTTCAAGGAATTCTGGGAAATTTCCATCTCCTTTCAAGTGTCTCTCAACCTTGGAAGCTTGAAGATGAGTGGCCCTCAACTTCTAGAATTCTGGGAGTTGAAGTCCACATATCTTCAAGTTCTCACTTGTGGGTTGTGTGTGACGGTGGAGTCCACATATCTTCAAGTATGTTAGCTGGGGAATTCTGGGAGTCGAAGTCCACACATCTTCAAGTCCACACTTGTGTGTTGTCTATGAAGTCCACACATCTTCAAGGATGCCTGACTGGGGAATTCTGGGAGTCAAAGTCCACACATCTTCAGGTCCACACGTGTGTTGTGCGTGAAGACGAAGTCCGCACGTCTTCAAGCCTACTGGCTATGGAATTCTGGGAGTTGAAGTCCATAGAACTTCACATGGCCAAGTTTGAGAAATGCTGCCTTAGACACAACCATTAGTAGCCCTGGGAAACATTTTAGTTTCTCCCAAGCATAAACTTTGTCCTTAGCTATTTCTTGGAAGAGGTAATGATTTACAAGAGCAATAAATGAAGGAAAGCAGAATCACCCTAATATAATTTTTAGGAGACTTCCAAGGAAAGACATAGGAAAATGTGCTATGTGCTTTGCTAAAGCAGCCCTAAAAAATTACCACTCCAGGTTGGGAAACAAATTGTTCTCTTTCCTCAGAATTAACCTCTTTTCCGTTCCAGGTTCAGCAGACAATGTGTGATAGACAAGGACAAGAGAAACCAGTGTCGGTATTGTCGTCTGAAAAAATGTTTCCGAGCAGGAATGAAAAAGGAAGGTAATTTCTTCCAACTGTTTCAGAGTGTGATATGGTCCGTCTTGTGTTGCTGGCTGTGTAATCTCTATCCTCTGGATGAGACAATGACTCAGAGTAAGTTCCACGTAAGCAAATCTCCGTTAGTAACTTTTATGAGTCACAGATCAGCAAGGAAGGAAAGTCTTTTTCCAAACGTTTCGAGATCCAGATTAACCCAGATTAATCCTGCTCCTCTGAGTTATAATCGGAGGGGCAGGAAAATCTCTGATACTCTAATGAAAATTTCTGCAGAGACCCCCATCTCCCCCAGTTCTCCTGCCTGAAACTTCTCCCTTCATCTGAATGCATTGATCTACCAAGTCCAGCATCTGAGCAGCTTTACAAGAGGAGACTATGCTAGCAAAACAATGAAACTCGGAGACAAACATGAATTTTCTGGATGTAGGTCCATAGCACAGGATAAATTGTATCTCCTTATGCATAAAATGGGGGGGGGGGAAATGAACCTATGATTTATAGTTTTGATGAGTAGACAGGATATATTTCAGAAAGAAGGGAGTTATGTTGTCCCCACAGAGTAAGAAGTAAATTTGAAATTAGTGTCCTCTAAAGATTGGAAGCTGTAGGACACCCTGGATTCATTTCCGTTCTTGTGCTGATTAAGATTAGATTAGATTAGATAACCTTTATTGTTAAAGATGATTAGGGGACTGGAGGCTAAAACACTGCTGGAATTGGGTATGTCTAGTTTAAGGAAGAGAAGGATGAGTGGGGATAGGATAGCGGTGTTCCAATATCTCAGGAGCTGCCCCAAAGAAGAGGCAGTCAAGCTATTCTCCAACACACCAGAAGGCAGGAGAAGAGGAGCAGATGGAAACTAATCAAGGAGAGAAGCAGCCTAGAACTAAGGAGAAATTTCCTGGCAGAACAATTAACCAGTGGAACAACCTGCCTCCAGAAGCGGTGAATGCTCCAACCCTGGATGTTTTTAAGAAGGGACTGGACAACCATTTGTCTGAAATGGTATAGAGTTTCCTGTCTGAGCAGGGGGTTGGACTAAATGATCTCCAAGGTCCCTTCCAACTTTATTATTATTATTTTCCTGTCGGCACAACGGCACATATTAAAAATGAAATTTAATTGCTTGCTCTCAAGTGTACACATACATAACAAACTTAAAACATACTATATACAACATATGTATAGACCTACACCCTTACATATAAGTAATGTATAAATATTAAATAAATATTAAATATTAAAACCCTTATTTTGACCTCTTGGGCCACCCACATTTTCTTGGGAATAATAGCCCTGGGATCCTGTGTTTAATCTAGTGGGCAAATGATGAGATAAAGATCATGGCAAGCCACCTAATACAGGCAGTCCTCAAATTATAACCCCAACTGAGCTCAGAATTTAGGTCGCTAAGTGAGAATTTTGTTAAGTGAGTTTTGCCAACGTTTTACGACTTTTCTTGCCCCGTTTGTTAAGGGAGCCACTGCAGTTGTTAAATTAGTCACCTGGTTGTTAAGTGAATCTGACTTCCCCATTGACTTTGCTTGTCAGAAGGTTGCAAAAGGGGGGTCACGTGACCCCAGGACGCTGTGACCGTCATATATATGAGTCAGTTTGCCAAGCATCTGAATTTTGATCACGTGACCCTGGGGATGCTGCAACGGTCATAAGTGTGGAAAAAACAGTCGCAAATCTTTTTTTTTCAGTGCTGTTGCAACTTCAAACGGTCACTAAATGAATTGTGGTAAGTCAAGGACTACTTGCGTAAGGAAGGGGCTACTTAAGTATGAAGTCTTCCCAGGGAAACATCTTTGGTAGGATTCGCTTCTGGACCCAGAAGAGTGAAACCTCAGCTAGACGTTCATGAACGATGGCACAACTTGATTGATTGATTGATTGATTGATTGATCCATCGACTGAAGGGTCGTTCCCTGGGCAGGTGGCCAATTCTTCAATATCTCTTTGTTTCTTTCCCCCCCAAAAGCTGTACAGAATGAACGGGACAGGATCAGCATCCGGCGAAGCAGTTATGAAGACAACGGGGCACTGTCCATCACCATCCTCACCCAGGCAGAAGGAATGGCACAGCAGGTAGGAGGAGGAGGAGGAGGGGAATAAATAAATAAATAAATAATGCACTTTCCCCAGATCTTCTTGCAGTTCCTTTACTGTGCATTTATTTTAGTACCCCGTTTATTTCTAATAGACAGCTTTGCACTCAACTCCGCAGGAGGATTTCTACCCAGACAGAATTTGCTTTGATCTATCTCAGCTCTAAAAGTTGAATGGTCTGTTTGCAGTGGGGAGGGAGGGAGGTTGCATTTTTATTTTTAACTCAGAATGTTAATGAAATACTTGTGATATACTGCCACCTGCTGGAGCTAGGGAGCCTACTGAATGTGAGCATACTATGCCCAGATAAACTGAACGGAATCGAGTGATATAATACATACATACATACATACATACATACATACATGCATACATACATACATACATACATACATACATATATTTGTTTTCTGAGGTTTTCGCGAGTGTTTGTATGTAGGTCTTTGGTTATTCGGGTTTTCTCCCACGTAAAATTGGAAGTGTCTTGGCGACGTTTCGACGAAATCTCATTCGTCATCTTCAGGCTGGTGCTTTCGGCTTCGTGCTTCTAGGAGCACGAAGCCGAAAGCACCAGCCTGAAGATGAAGAATGAGACTTCGTCGAAACGTCGCCAAGACACTTCCAATTTTACGTGGAGAAAACCCGAATAACCAAAGACCTATATATATATATATATCTCCCTAATAACTATAAAAATACGAATCCCAGGCATAAACTGAGTCAGTAAGATTTATAAGAAAACTCCCCACCCCTGACACTCACTCTGATGACGCTGGCAGCGGACCAGCGAAAGCTAAGGTTGTTTTTAGTATTGTAAATAGTTGTTTTTATTGTTCTATTTTTTTTACCAATAAACAGTTGGTTTATATCCTTCCCAGCAAGGCGTGAGTTCCAGCACCTTTTTTTTTTTTTTTTACAAAAAAAAGCACTATATATATATGGAGTAGGGAAGGGAAAAATGTATTGCTTTGATGTTTCCAGTGTTGTTGTTGTGCATGTCTGAAACTGTGTCTGAAATTACCCTATTTCCATTTAATCTAAGGCTTGTGTAAAAAATGCATTGAAATGGGCATGCATGCTGAAGAATATTTCTCCAAACAGGCATTTCTGTTGTTTTGAGTAGTGCACATTTTACAATCTAATTTCTTCAGTATAATGCATACTTGCTCTCCCTCCCTCCCTTTTCTTTTTTCTTTTCTTTTTTTTTCTTTTTTCTCCTCTTTCCTTCTTTCTTTCTTGCTTTCTTTTTCTTTCTTTCTTTCTTTCTTTCTTTCTTTCTCCTTTCTTTCCTGTTTTTCTCTCTCATCTTTATACAGACTTTTTCTCAAGTCTTATTTTGTTAAAAACAACAGCGAAACCCTGGTTATTTGCAGTGCAAAATGTGGATTTGGAAGGATAACGTTAGCTCTTTGTTTATTTGTTCATCAGTACAAAATTAGATCGTTGCATAAAGTTAAAAAGTAAATGAATTTATCTCCTTTCTCTATTCTAGAAAAGGAGGGGAAGGAAGAACCAAAGGGTGAGGGGAAAGGGAGAGCTTTAGTGCCCCGAGCAGGGTGTGTGTGGTTACCTGGCCTCTTGTCTTGCAGTACTCAGCTCTCCGTCCTGTGCACAATGCAGAGATCGCCATGAAGAAAATCGCCACGATCAACGACGTGTGTGAATCGATGAAGCAGCAGCTTTTAGCCCTGGTGGAGTGGGCAAAATGCATCCCCGTGTTCGGTGAGCTTCCCCTGGACGATCAGGTGAGCAAGGGACCTTCTTTTGCCCAGTTTTACACTCCTAAATGGTTCCTCTTGCACAAGGGTGGTTGGTGACTTCCCTAACTCAAACTCTGAACAGTTGGTTTCTTTACAAACAGTTTTGAAGATGTGGGTTCCTCAAGTAGGCAATAACACTTTCTGTCTCTTCCAATTTTCAGGTTGCCTTGCTAAGAGCCCACGCAGGGGAACATCTCTTGCTGGGAGTTGCAAAGCGCTCAATTCCATACACAAATTTTCTCTTACTAGGTAAGAAGAATTTTTCTCTGCTTAGGTTAAAAAAAAAAAAAAAGCTTTCATCATCCAGCTCCCACGGAGCTGCTCAGTCCCTTGACTGTTGCAAGGGGTCCATTGGGGGTTCGGATAATGAATCAGGGGTGCTGTCGGTGGGCTCGGCCAACTGCAGAAGGCCAACGGAGCAAGTCTTCCTCACCAGCTCCAGGGTATTCTTCATTACCAGTTTGAAGCAAGCTTGATGAGGTCTTGTATGGAAAAGGCCCTCTCTCTGCCCGATCAGAAGCAAGCTCACTTGGTCATCTGGAAGTTCTTGCACCGTGATTTGGAGCCGTGTTTCTCAACCTCAGCAACTTTAAGATGGGTGGACTTCAACTCCCAAGATACTGCTAGGCTGGGAGTTGAAGCCCACACCTCTTAAAGTTGAAATCCAGGGGATGAAGTCCACATATCTTAAAACTCTTAAGGTTGGGAAACACTGATTTACAGTGTAACTCTTATTTTTCTTCACATCGTCATGCATCTTTTCATAAAACTGTGACTCGTGTCACTATTTCGGTCACCTCCACCTATGTCTTCTTTGGACCACCCCCGTTGAAATATACTGCAAGAACATTGCAAATGATCAACTGATCCTTCTCAGATCTTTAATAGCAATAGCCCTCAGATTTATATACCGCTTCACAGTGCTTTACAGCCCTCTCTAAGCGGTTTACAGAGTCAGCATATTTGCCTCCAATAATCCAGGTTCTTGTTTTACTGACCTGAGATCGGTGGAAGGCTGAGTCAACCTTGAGTCTGATGAGATTCAAACTGCCAAACTGCTGGCAGCTGGCAGTCAGCAGAAGTAGCCTGCATTACTGGATTCTAACCCTTGAACCACCACGGCTCATCTCTAAGGGCATTAGGCTGTGCTTATGGACCATCCTTAGCCATGGATTGACTATGACTCAAGGAACCTTAATCCAAGTGGCTTACTTCACATAACAGATGCTCGGTGCTATGCTCTGAGCAATCCACATGATAACCTTGTGTTATGTGTGAACCATAGAGAGGGAAAGAGGGAGGATTAAACTGCCACAATGATTGATGAAGTGCTTCTCTTTCTTAACACTTAGAAAAATCGGTGTAGGTATGTATGTCCCTTTCTTAGCTGGAGCCATCACGATCATCGGCCTCACAGCATTCCTTCCTCTTCCTCTTCTATAGGCAATGACTTCATCATCCCCATGCAATGTCCAGAGCTTGAAATTGCCCGAGTGGCCATCAGGATCCTGGACGAGCTGGTGAAGCCCTTGCGGGAAATTCAGATCGACGAGAATGAATATGCCTGCCTTAAAGCCATAGTCTTTTTTGATCCAGGTATTTTTTTTTCTTCCTTCACATCATCCCGAGTTTGATCAAACTCCCTTTGGTTACCAATGGATGATAGGGATTGACGGGATTATGTCTATGGAGGTTCTCAGTCATCCAGGTCATGGTTGTCCCAAAGGGGCTTTTTCAAGTGACCCCTGGATTTTCTTCGCTTTTCCCTGCAGATGTTTTGGAAGCTCCTTCAGTTCCTCAAAAGAGCAAGTTTTTAATACCGTTTGATGCGCTGGTATTCTGTCGTTGGAATGGCAGGAGGAACCACTGTAGGTCCCGCAAATGAAGCCTGGTCCAGGGGACTATGGCTATGCAGGAGACCATCTTGCCTAACATCTGGGATAGTGTTACCAGGGGAACTGTGTGTTGTTTGTATACCTGGCGAGCCAGTTCCCTGATGCTGACCACTCGCTCCTGGGAGAGGTAGACCATGCAGTTGGATGTGTCTATGATGGCTCCCAGATGCAGTAGCCTGGGTGAGGGAGCTGTCTGGCTCTTCTGGAGGTTTACTGAGAACCCATGCTGCTGAAGGACGCGGATAATGGTCCTTACGTCCACCTGAGCCACCTGGAGGGATGTTGCTTGAATCAAGATGTCGTCCAGATAACATTGGACGCGTATTGGGACTTGACAGCCTATTCTGTTTTACTTAGATACAGCTTGGGAGTCGCAGCCTTGTCACTTCTACCTGAAGTATAAACACTCCTCCTCCCTACTCTCTCTCTTTTTTGGGTTGCTAATGTAATCAGTTTTTGTAACGGTGTCAGCAAATAAATGGATGCTTACTACTCTAAAAAAGAAAACCCGAAGAAGCTTCTTCGATGAGAAGCGAGATGGCGTCAAGGAAAAACAAAGAAAAGTCCAGTTGCCTCTTGAAAAAGTACCTTTGGGACAATTGATCGGGCAAGCTTCCTGTGGGTATCTTGGCTTCGTTGTCTTAAAACGTCCCTCTGTCCTGAACCAAAGTTAATTTTCTATTGTTTTTGCTTCTCCTGGTGATTTTCCTTCTTGGTCACGCTCCCACCGTAATCGTGGCTGAGAACATTTGCTCGCGTTCATCTCCATCTTGCTTGTTTCTCCCCTTTCTCCTTGTCCCAGACTGCAAAGGGCTGAGCGATCCAGGGAAAGTCAAGAATATGCGTTTCCAGGTCCAGGTGAACCTGGAGGATTACATCAATGACCGGCAATATGACTCCCGGGGAAGGTTCAGCGACATCCTCCTGCTGCTCCCTCCGCTACAGAGCATCACCTGGCAGATGATAGAGCAAGTTCAATTCATCAAACTCTTCGGCATGGCCAGGATTGACAGCTTGCTGCAAGAAATGCTTCTTGGAGGTACAGCGTGGGTGGAGATGTGAAGGGCCTGGAGTAGGAACCAGGGGACCCAAGTTCTGCTCCTCCTTCAGAAGCTTTCTGAGGAACCTATTAGGTTGCCCCTCTCGCACAGCCCAACCAATGCCACAAGGTGGTGGTTTTGGAGAAAACACAACTAGGGATGCTTCATTGACCATCTCGACCAGGTGCAAGAAAAGTGGGATAACAAAAGTAGCTTTGGGGTTGGGTCTATACACAATACCTTTAACCAGCAGCTCTGTTCACCTATCTCTGTTCGGCTTGGCTAGTTTTAACCCTATTAAAAATCCTCCAAGAGCATTCAGATGAGTCTTGGCATCGAAAAAAGAGCTGGAACCAAGTTGAATTGGTGATTACAGAAAAAAAAAAAAGATGTTATTATGGCTTCCTTACACACTAGGGCACTTTGTTAAATCCCAAAATAATTATACAGGAGCAAAAGAGTCCAAATTGCCCCCAGATCCATCAATTGTGTGGGTTTGGTGGGTTCATTCCAAATCTGTTTTTGTTTGCCGAAATGATGAACCTAGATAGCTGTATAACAGGGCTGTCTAAGCTTGGCAATTATTAAGACTTCTGAACTTCAACTTCTGGAATTCTTCAGCCGGCTATGCTAGCTGAGGAATTCTGGGAGTTGAAGTCCACAAGTCTTAAAGTAAATATGATTAGACTGAGATGCCTTTCTTCTTATGCAGGAACAAGCATGGATATGCCCCAATACCAGCCAGGTCCTTCCAGCCATAATATGGAGCCTCTTCCAGGTCACATCGTGCTGCCTAGTACAATCGGCTCAGTGATTCACACCATTTCAGTCTGTAGGTATCCAGTTTCTCAGTGTTTCAACTAGGAAATTGTGGTTGAACCTTGAACATTGACCCAAAGGATACAAATGCTTGGAAAATACAAGAGGACCAGAGTGGGTGGGTGATACAGATTGGATGAAAGGGTGGTGATCAAGGAGACTGGCAGGAAGATAGTAGATAAGGAGTAGATCCATTGAGGAATAGGATCTACTGAACATATCATGAAGGACTTTTTTGAAGGCCCAGGACAGACAAGGCAAATCATGGCTGTGTACGCTTACATGCACAAGAAGTAATTATCATGTTCATCTTTTCTTCTACAGCTTCACCAGAAACTTCGCTCCCTTCTCCTTCTACCAGCACAGGAAGTGAAGATTACAAACTGGGTCCTACCCCTGGATCCGAAATCCCAACTACCCTTTTGCCTCAGGTGATCATCCCCAAACAAGAGATCCTCTAGGAAATCCACTCTTATTTTTTTAGTTGTCCCTTTTTGAATTCAACAAGCTTTGTTCTCATAATGGCAGCCAACACTGCTAGGTTTCCCGCCCACTAAATCACTTTGCATCTCACTTGGGTCCTCCCCAAGAAAAGATCCCCCAACATTATCAGCATAGCAGGTGTAAACTATCATATAAAACATTGGCAGTTAAGTAGTTTATTTTCTGTTACACTCCCATCTATTGTGTTCTGGTGGAAACACCAGAACTGGTTTGGATGGAACACCAAATGGAGATTAGCTCCGTGCAGGTCTTAAAATCAGTTTGATGGTCATAGTCCAACAATAGTTCTAGTTGAGAGATACATACATATGATCGGCATACTCCTAGGACTTAATCTAAATTTTTGAGATTCCTCTTACCATTTGTAAAAATATGTATATCAATATTTGAACAAAATAAATTGTACTTACTTCAAGCAATATATTAATACTTCAGAATGGCCATTTATGGCTTGTGGGAAAGTTAGGTCTTCACAAGAGGCTCAAGTATGTGCTCAATCAATCAATCAATCAATCAATCTGAATAGAGCTGGAAGGGACCTTGGAGGTCTTCTAATCCAACCCCTGCTCAAGCAGGAGACCCTATACCATTTCAGATAGTTAATTGTCCAGTCTTCTCTTAAAAGCCTCCAGTGATGAACTTCCCTGGAGCAACATCTCCACACCCATAAAGTAAATCAAAGCTGCCATTTGCCTGGTGATGGTCAACCAAGCTTCAATCAGTTAACTTTATTCCACATTTTTATAAAAAAAAATTACAACAGAACAAGGATCTGAAAACCAAGGAACTTCGTTTCCATCCATTCCACACACATATTTGCTAAATCACAGACATAATCGGCTGCTTAAACATGATCTGCTGAGTTTCAGAAGGACAATCCCACCAGAAGCGGCCTATATGAATGAGGTCCTTAAAGGTCAATATACCTAATTCTCAAACGGTAGAACTGAAACTGCCACAAATCTTGAACCTGATCCTTTTTTCACATTTTTTTTTTTGTCGTATGTTGCATTTTCTTCCATTGGCAGTTTCCTCCAGGATTAACCTCAAACTAAGACCGAGCTGCCTAAATTCTGTTTACATGATTGAGAAGAGTTTGCTAAGATGTACGAAGCACACCTTGGCTGGATTCTGTAAATGCTCGATATTTCTTCAGCACGGCAATATTTCTTCAGCAGTACCAACCGTTATCAGGGGAAATACTCATGGATAGCTTTATATGCTTATTAGTCTGACATGCCTCTTAAGAACGGAGGAGTGGATTCCTCCTTAACACCACGGTGGACATACTGGTAGATAAGTTCTCTCAGAAAGGAGAAGAAACACTAGATTTGGCTTGTAAATAGAGAAACACCTACATTTTGTTAAAAACATGCCCAAGGGCACACCTGCGGTTTTGCCTCTCTTCTTCCTCACCTCTGTTCCATCAATTCTGTATATTTTTAAATGCTGACATGCCCCAATAGGGATGTTAGGAGAGTCCCGCACAATAGTAGCAGCATCCTCTCAGACCCCTGTCTTGTAACATGCAACCCGACTCACAAAAAAGATAAGGCACTATACAACAAGCAGCGATTTTGTCTGCCAAAATCCACAGGCAAATGAGGAAAAACAGGATTTCAGGTGAGGGTCATCCACAAGAAGAGATATCCAGGGTTGAGTGACAGGAACCGATGCCTGCTCCTTTCGTCTGAAGGGTCACAACTTATGGCCTTCATCTGAAGAATGGTCTAAGCCAGGGATAGGCAACCTTGGCTCTTTTATGACTCGTGGACTTCAACTCCCAGAATTCTGGGAGTTGAAGTCCACAAGTCATAAAAGAGCCAAGGTTGCTTACCTCTGGTCTAAGCCCGTTATATATAGCTCCTTCTACAATGCTACAGTAAAAAGGAGTCCCTCCGGATTTTTACTCCACTAGCCTTTATCGAGTCTAGGGGGGCGGTGCCCATTTCTGTTTCAAGGCTGTTGAGCCAGAGCTGTCCGAACACATTTCTGTGGTCATGTGACCAGCACATGACGGAGGGCTGTTCCCTTCCCACCGAAGGGATACCTATTTATCTACTCACATTTGCATGCTTTCGAACTGCTAGGTTGACTGGAGCTGAGGTGAGGACAGGAGCTCACTCCGTCGCATGGCACTAGGGTCTCAAACTTGGGCTGCCAACTTTCCAGCCATCAAGCCCAGTGTCTTTAACCACTGAGCCACTGCGCCACCCTCCAAATGCTGACAGAATCCGAAATGCTTCATCTATACCCAGAGAACTTCACTCAACTCAAAATCTTCTCTAAGAGATCAACCAGACTCAGGGGTGTCCACCCAAGCCCTCCATAATCCATACATCTCATTGTGCAAATGCAGTTCTGGTGAACCTATATCTCAACCTCAGATGCATAAGTACGTGAAGCGCCAACACTTGTGTGACACCTTCATCATATGGGTATCCTCCTGCCGCCCCCGTAGATGCCCACTATGGGGTAGAAGCATGCGATGCCTCCGTCATCGCTATTAAATATATAAGCTTCTTTTATATATCAGGATACATATACATACTCAAGAGCTGCACTGAATCTTCTGGTTACAAGGAGGTGCAGAGGGGGCAATCTTTTTGTTTTTTTACTTTAAGCATAATTTAAGCAAAATTACCATTAGGGAACAAGTGGAATTTCATGACCGATCTGAACCCTACATGGAGTTAAAACGCCCACCTGCCTTTCCTGGGTATTTCCTCAATACAGCGTCTTTTCAACCTCTAGTATATAGTGTTTCTCAACCTTGGCAACTTTTAAGACACCTGGACTTCATTCAGCTCCTAGAATTCCCCAGCCATTAGTGGGTTTAAAGCAGCTTCTTTAAAAACAAAGGGACTTTGAGAAATGTCGGAGAGACGACCTTCCAAACTAACTCCTACTGAACTTCAAAAGAGACTTCTTTTCCAACAACCGGGTCTCCCAAGTTCCTAGCACTGCTTCCCGTAGCCGGGGGAACTTTTTGAAAAACCTCCTGGCCTAACTTGACATGTCACCTGGTGCTGATGACATGAAAAAGATAACTGAGTTTGCTGACTTTAAGAGGTTTTGACCTCAGGGCTTCTTTCTTCTTTAAAACCCATTCCCTTAAAGTGAGAACAAAAACCCAGGCATTTGACACAAGCGTCCACAAACAGAACGAGTACCTTGTTCTTATAGTTGTTCCCTATTTAGTACTTTGATTCTGAACCTAAAAATGAACAATCCGGCGGGGGGGGGGGGGGAGATTTGGGACCTCACCCGTGCGAGCTTTGGGTTCTCTCGTGGGAGAATCAAAAGCCCTGCAAGATAATCACCCACCCTAACCGAGCTTGTTGGGGCAAACAGAAAACACCATGGGAAAAAAAAACCACCTGAAATTTTTCATTTCGGGGATTGCGTTTGGCTAGCTGTTTTCAGCATGTCTCATGACTGACAACGGTGTCTCATGATTGACAACGATGGCTCCAGGAACAGTCTTTTCAAAAGAGGAGAAGTCGATGTGTCACAAAGAAAAAAAAAAAGACTCCTAACGAAGAAAAGATCTGGCAAACAGTCCCCTAAAATCCTGTTACCGCAGTGGAGGTGCTATTTGGACTTCCTCGGCGTAACGGTCCTGTCCCCTTGGTGTTTCGTTTGTTCGGCGGAACAAAAGCCAGGCGTGGCCACATTCAGCGTCCACTTCCAGAGAGTGAGACGTAGGAGGTTATAAAGGTATAAAACTCTGCTTGCTACAAGCAAAATGTTCGGTATGTTTTTTGTTCAACTCCTCTGGTCCCAGGTTGGCGGCTTTTCCCCCCCGCCTCGCTCCCAATAAATAAAATACACTCCTTGTGTGGGTTTCAGCATGATTGGGCCGACTCAGACCGAAAATTCAGGCGCTCCCTTCTTGCTTCTGAGCAGGAACCTCCGGATTCGGAATCCAGCGAAAGGATTTATCCACAGCAGGGACGGTTGTCCCCCAAAGACCGACTTCATCCCTTCCCAGCACAGTCTGCGTTCCCAGGTGGGCTTCTCGCTCTTCAGCCTTTCGATCTCCTGCAAGTTAATTGGGCGTTTTGTGAAATTCTGCCAAACCTGGGGAGGGTGTGCTGAGATTCAAGGTCTCAGCCGGAGGGGAGGTTGAGATGGGTGCGAATGGCAGGTCCAAACTGCAAAGGGGTGGTGACTCTGTGTGTGTGTGTGTGGGGGGATGTCTTACCGTTTCATCGTTGCATATCGAATGGATCTGAGTGCCAAACATCACCGCGGTGAAGGTCAGAAAGAGAAACCCTTCAAGGCACAAGAAGATCAGTAGGATCACCGTCACGGGTGGGGAGAAGTTACTGCATTCTAGGAAGGAAGGAAGGAAGGAAGGAAGGAAGGAAGGAAAGAAGGAAGGAAGGAAGGAAAGAAGGAAGGGAAGGGGAGAGAGGAAGGAAGGAAGGAAGGAAGGAAGAGAAGGGGAGAGAGGAAGGAAGGAAGGAAGGAAGGAAGGAAGGAAGGAAGGAAGGAAGGAAGGAAGGAAGGAGAAGGGGAGAGAGGAAGGAAGGAAGAGAAGGGGAGAGAGGAAGGAAGGAAGGAAGGAAGGAAGGAAGGAAGGAAGGAAGAGAAGGGGAGAGAGGAAGGAAGGAAGGAAGGAAGGAAGAGAAGGGGAGAGAGGAAGGAAGGAAGGAAGGAAGAGAAGGGGAGAGAGGAAGGAAGGAAGGAAGGAGAAGGGGAGAGAGGAAAGAAGGAAGGAGGAGAAAGGAAGGAAGGAAAATTAAGTTTGAATCCAGAACAATCATATTCACGACATCTTTTTGGAATAATTAGCAAGTCAGAATAAAGAGGAACTGCGAGGTAGAATCCAAAACCGGCTTGCAAATGGTTGGAAGCAAATACAAAGGATTGTATTTATAGAAGGCATAAAACATTGTACAATATACTGGAGGGATTAGGCATGTTACATGGGAAGTAGAGAGTGTTAGAGAGTCACAGAAATCCAAACATGTTACACATGTTGGCCAGACAGCTTAGGAGATTCCTACTGGTCTGGGAGGGTGACATTCCTATTTTAGGGCTTCAAATATCTCGTTTTGTTAAAAGCCAGAAACTTTTGCAACTAACATATTTCTCTTCCTAAAGCGTATTAATAATATTGGCACCACTACAGAAAAAACAACAACTGGTCAGTATCTTCTCTGGGGAAGCATTTTTGACTTCCCAATCTAGTCTTTCTCAGCCTTGACAACTTGGACTTCAACTCCCAGTATTCTCCAGCCAGGGGAGTTGAGGTCTACTCATTTTAAAGCTGTTGAGGTTGAGAATCTGTCCTAATCTAACCTTAGAGCCTGGGATTTGCTAAAAGCTTCCTATCCAATTAATAATCAAGCCAGCTAATTCCTAAGCCCAGATAAGACCAGCCATCTGCTGAAGTGGAATTTGAGGACTTGTGTTTTCATGGGTACCCCAGCAAAATATCCAAGAAAGCAGGATGGCCCATATCCAACCCTCATGTTGAACCGGACGTGGGGGTTTAACCCTTGCAATTCTGGCACCACACATGCATCATGTGCCCTGATACAGCAAAATATAGATATGTTGTGTTTTCTCTATGGGTCTCTGGCAGCACAATCTCAGCGTCGCCCACGCTGCACTCCCATGCATAATTCAAAAAGGCAATTATTTTGAAAACAAAACGCAAAAACATCAGTCGGGTTGGAAAAATGTCACCCGAGCACTCAACAAAATGCTCTCTTGGAAACGCTCCAGCAGTTTCCTTAATGAAACAAAATAATGTCCAAATGTACCAAGACCCCATAGTTTGGACACTCAACAGCCAATTTCAATTTCTGGGGTTCTAAACCTTTGGGCATTTAGGTTTCCAAGAGGTAATCTTCTCCCATAAAATCTAACTGCCTTGTCAATTTCTTTTCTTAAGACCCATTTCCCAAACCTACTCCACCCTTGGAGATAAGCTTGAAAAAGACAAGTTTTCCTTTGAAAAACCTCGTCTGGCAGAGAAAGACCCTTATTTCATCACATTAGACACCAAATTTTATTTGTTTATTTCAGAATTATTTCTCTTTGTAAGACACGATTTGGCTTTTGTACAGTTTTAATCATTCCAGTTCAGTTTCCTCTTTTTTTTATCGACGGCTGCCCCTGCTTGCTTTTGTAACTGGCTACTTAAAATCCTTCCACGGTTTCAGATTTGCACCGCAGTTTCTTCATGGTCTGACGGCACCTGAACCGTCTGCTAGACAAGCGATTTAGGCATGCTTAAAATAAATCTGTCAAAGGCCACGTGCTTGCTTACCAATCCACTGATTCCGGACGCAGGAAAAGAACTGAAATCCACACAGGATGAGCGCGTGAGCTGAAATCAGAGCAATGTACATCTGGAAAAGAAGGGAGGATTTAGAATAGAATAGAATAGAATAGAATAGAATAGAATAGAATAGAATAGAATAGAATAGAATAGAATATGAAAAGGATAGGATAGGATAGGATAGGATATGGAAAGAGTAGAATATGGAATAGAATAGAACAGAACAGAATAGAATAGAATTTTTTTATTGGCCAAGTGTGGTTGGACACACAAGGAATTTGTCTTTGACCCACAAGGAATTTGACATCGATCTTTGCAAGGCATGTCTTCAATGCTATCGTGGGTTCCCTTTCTTCACCTCTCATCTATTTATTTATTTATTTTGAGGCTGCCTGATACCACAAAGACTTGAGGCAGCTTGCAAATAAAAATCAGAAGTAAACTATGCCTATCGAAGAAAGAAACAGAAAAGGAACAGAGCTAATCAGAAGATGCCCCCCCCTTCCAAAGTTCAAACAGTAAAACTAAAAAGCTCAGTTCCCATTTCTAACCCAAGGAAGGTCTGAGAAAAAAAGCCAAAAGAATAAACATAGGTTTCTGGGTGGATAATGTTCCACAAGGCAAGCACCATCACCAGGGAGATGATGTCAGCATTAAAACATCACCAATATTCTGACTTGCAAATTTAAATGTTTAGCTACGTTCCTTCCCCTTCCCTGATTTGTGATAAATAACACAACAATTCCTACTCACAGTAAAAAGCACAAAAAACCTTTGGTTCCTTTCCCCCACACAGTTGTTAACCCAGGGACAGTGATGATCCATCTTCCGAATGCATCGTTTGCAAATACTGATGGGATTTAAAGGGGGGGGGGGGAAGTGAGGAGAAAAAAAAAGATTATGTATATCTTGGTGCCGAAAGTAGAACTGATTTCTTTGAAAAAATCTAAGGTTATTTGCATTCAACAAACAAGCCAGATCCATTTCCTCTTTTATGAACCAGACATAACTTTATTTATTTATATTTCGTATTTCTGAACTGCTCATCTGCTGTAAGAGAAATGTCGGAAAACAGATCAAGTCTGTATCATCTCAGGGTATTTTTCATAAGGAGGGAAGATTATACTGTGGCCCTTTGGAGTCTTCTTTGGAGAAATGCTGAAGTAGAGAATGCAAGAACTTTGCTTGGCTCCCAGCTGTGGAGAGTCAGGAAGAAGACCTTGATGGGGACAAGCCAGGATCCTCAACTGGGCAAAAAGGGATGAAACGTTTTTTTTGTTTTAAGGTCTGAGAAATGAGACAACATTCAGAAGAGGCTTAGGCAGGTGCCTCCTTAATTTGCTGAAGTATCCAAAGGAAGAGGAGATACGGCTCCTTCACAGAATCATAGAACTGGAAACGACCTTGAAGATGTCTGTGGAGAGTCTCAGTCATCCAGGTCATGGTTGTCCCAAAGACGCTTTCCAAAAGATTTCGTGTTCTTTTTTCCTTGAAAAATGTTTCGCTTCTCATCCAAGAAGCTTCTTCAGTTCTCAAAGTGAACTGAAGAAGCTTCTTGGGTGAGAAGCAAAAGGTTTTCAAGGAAAAAAAAAACCCCACCAAGACAGTCCAGTTACCTTTTGAAAAACACTTTTGGGATGACCATGGAGATCTTCTAGTCTAACCCACCCACCCCTCTCCGACCTTACCCCATTCCAGACAAATGGTTGTCCAATCTTTTCTTGAAAACCTCCAGCGATGGAACACCCACAACTCTGGGTGGGAGGCAAGAAATTCCATCCATTCATCGTTCTCCCCAGTTCCAGGTGGGATCTCTCTTTAAGGCAGTGTTTCTCAACCTTGACAACTTTAGGGCATGTGAACTTCAATTCCCAGAATTCCACAGCCAGCATTGCTGGCTGTGGAATTCTGGGAGTTGAAGTCCACATGCCCTAAAGTTGTCAAGATTGAGAAACACTGCTTTAAGGAGAGATCTTCTACCCGATGCTTGCAAGAATCTTTTATTATCTCAATCGAAGTAGCTTTAGCCTTCCCTGTAGAGTTAATTTCATTGGGGGGTGGGTGGGAAGGAGGCTGCCAGCAGCTGAGACTGGGGCAGGGTTGGGGGGGGATGAGCAGCATTTTCATCTGTCTTTCAAAAAGAGGCACTGGTGTATTTCAGTCTGGAAAAGGAGCCGGCTCTTATGAAGGTCAACAAGCTCTACCACCCCGCTCCCTACCTCCTCCAGCCTCCCACATTTGTACAGAATCCTCCTCCGTTTCAAGCAGTCAGGGGCTGAGGGGGGACTGAGCCAAACCGAAGCAGCAGCTGCGTTCAAGAAGGCAGCAGCACCTAGGAAACAGCCCCCTTGTGCTCTCTTGCTGAGCACAAAAGAGAGGCAGCTTGAAACAGGAATGACCTCAATCCACACTTCTGGGACTGCAGAGGCCCCTTAAAACGTGGAGAGGAGCCTCCTCTGAGAACGCAACTCCCAGGCGGTGTGAAGGATACCTGCAGTGATGGGCACGTTCTGGCTTCACGCTGCAACACTTGGGGCATTTGTAGATGACCTCCCCTGGTTTCAGCTGCAAACTCTCCATGTATTCCTTTGTGGCATTTCCTTTGGGGACAGCACCCTAAAAAGGCAGAAAGACAAAACTCAGGGATCCAGAATGAGGCTGCTCCTTGATCTCATGTTTCCAAATAGGCTGTCCTTCAATTCCCAGAATCCTCAAGGCTGCATTGGCTGGGGAATTCGGAATGGGACAGCTCACCACGGCCAACTCACCTTGGCCAACTCTCCATGGCCAACTTGCTGTGGTCAACTCACCATAGGCCAACTTGCCATAGCCAACTTGCTGTGGCCAACTCACTGTGGTCAACTCATCATAGGCCAACTTGCTGTGGCCAACTCGCCATGGCTAACGCACCTTGGCCAACTCGCCACGGGAGAACTTGCCTTGGCCAACTCACCATAGGCCAAATTGCTGCGGCCAACTCACCTCGGACAACTGACTATGGCAGTGTTTCCCAAACTTGACAATTTTAAGGCATGTGGACTTCAACTCCCAGAATTCCACAGCCAGCATTGCTGGCTGTGGAATTCTGGGAGTTGAAGTCCTCATGCCTTAAAATTGTCAAGTTTGGGAAACACTGGACTATGGGATGACTTGTCTTGGCCAACTCGCCACAGGACAATTCATCAATACTTGTATTTTAATTATTTAAAATAATTTAAAATTTCATTTTTTTGTCCTTCACACTTCATCTTGTCCCTCCTTTTGCATCCTTCATTTAATAATTCTATTTCAACATTTCTTCAATAATATGTAACTTTTGTTCCACGGCAAGTTGGCCAAGGCTAGTTGGCCATGGCACGTTGGCTGTGGTGAGTTGTCCTAGACTATGGGTCATCAAACTTGGCCCTTTTATGACTTGTGGACTTCAACTCCCAGAATGCCTGGCTGAGGAATTCTGGGAATTGAAATCCACAAATCATAAAAGGACCAAGTTTGAAGACCACTATCCTACACCCGTGGGATTATCAGAAACGTGAATCCACACGGTCAAGAAAGAGTCTTCGGCATGGTACCCAAAACTGTTGGCCACCCTACTCACTGGATCCGTCAGCATTGTTCTTAGGTGAGAAGACAACGCCAGCACAGCCAAGCTGTTGAAGAGGACTCCGTTGACCAGGGAATACCAGAAGTCTTTGGAAGGGAGCAGCATGACGAAGGTGACCACGAAGTCGGCGTAGACCACCAGAAGCCAGGTCATCAGTGCACAGACCATCCCGCAGCTGTCGCGGATGAACCAGACGCGATCCCCCGCGTCGCACTCGGATGACGGTGAATCGTAGCAGTCATTCTCGGCAAGCAGAGGATGATGCTCAACGTCACGCAACCTGTGCCCAGATGACTGCATGATTTTCTGGACTGGCCCTGTGGGGGGAAGTAACCAGCGAGTAGCTGTGCAGTGAGGCTCATAGACAGCACCTCAACTATTGTCAAGGGATGAACGGACAGCCCATCCTATTCTAATTTAAACGAGGCAAGCAAAACGCAACAGGAGGGATTCCAGAATCAATGGATCCAAGGTTGGTCTTAACAGCCTCAGCAGACCAAAAATTTAAGATCCTGAGGAATAATCGGGGCTTTTTTTACATTACACTGGCTGCATAAAGAACTTCTACAAGTCCTCAAGTATAATCAATAGAAATATAAACAAGTGAATGAAGAAATAAATATAAACAAAATTAAAGTTCCGTTTGTAGCCCAGAGTTGAAAATAAGGGGGTCTTTGGTGCCCTCTGAGCTTGTTTTCTTGCAGACATTTCCTTACCTAATTAAATAATTTCATCAGTGCTAGAAGGGAGTGGGGTTTGCAGAGGGAGAGGGGGGGAGACGACTGTGGGGTCCTTGGTGTTCTCCGAGTTTGATTTTTAAGTTTTATTACCCAATTAAATCATCAGTGGTAGAAGGAAGTGAGGGGAGAGGAGGAGGAGGAGGAGGAGGAGGAGGAGGAGGAGGAGGAGGAGGAGGAGGAGGAGGAGACATTGTGGGATGCTTGGTGCTGTCTGAGTTTGCTTGCTTTTTTTGCAAACATTTCATGACTCAACTAGGGAATATTATTGGTGTTTGATTCTTTTCTTGCAGACATTTCCTTACTCAAACTAAGTAACATCATCAGTGAGCAACCAAGCTCAGAGAGCACCAAGGACCCCATAACATTAAAATCCTGGACTGGCTTCTCCAATATAAAACCTTGAGGGAGCAACCTGACCAGAGGATGCTCATAAAATCCATCTCCTTCTTGACAGACCCAAGTGTTGGACTTCTTTGTTTAATACTGGTTTTTGTTTAGTTTTTTGTAGACGTTTGGATATCCTTATCTGTACTAAATGAGATTGCCATTTCAGCTAGTTACTTTCACCTAAGAATTATGTACGATTATTATTATTATTGAAAATTCAGCCTTTAGGGAATAAAAAGTTCCGCTTTTGATCCATCCGTTCGTCCTCGTTTGCCTGGCCATCCTTCTCTTTTTCCTTGCATAGGGAAGACGTCTTACTTTGCCCGGTGGGAACATTTGCTAAGCCCCATTTGGTGTCTTGAGTGAAGTTCTAAGGAGCTTCACGAAGGCACAAATGGTCTCATTAAATCAGGGCTCGCTGGGAAAGGCAGGAGTCCCCAGGGAGCACCCCACGATTTGAGCAGAAAATCAAAGTATTATGAACAGCTGCAGTGTAAATCTCTCCACTGCCAGGAATGGGAAGAAACCCTAGACATCCTTTTCATCCTAAAATCCCTATTGATTCAGTGCTATTACAGTTGACGGCTGAGCTGAAAGCACGCTATTGATTTGCCGATATTCGAGCAGATGCTTTTCGATTTCCTCACAAAGGGTGGCTTCCTTTCCCCGACAAACTAGCACACATGAATGCAGTTTTAGAGGCATGTTGACCAGTTTGCATCTTAACCTTGGTTGGTTACAAATCAAGGCGGAAGCTGGGCCATGCAAGCTCAACAAAACAAGGACGGAAGGAAAGTAGGGTTAATTCTACCTCCTCTTCCTCACTGTTTTTACATACAGCGGAGAAAACTCCTGTGGAGAGGAGCAGAGGAGGCCCCCCCCGCCTTGACTTAAACATAGTAATCACCCCTCAATTATTATTTTTTTTTTTGCTTTTTTTCAATTGGGCCCAATACTCAGAGACTGCCTGGACAAGTCCCCTGCACGTTTCCTGGAAAGGTTTTTCCAAAGTGGTTTGCCATTGCCTCCTTCCTAGGGCTGAGAGAGAGGGACTGGCTCAAGCTGATCCAGCAGATTTTGCACCTAAGGCAGAACTAGAACTCATAGTCTCCTGTTTTCCAAGCCAGATGCCTTCCCTACTTCACTAAACTGGCTCTGGTCTCTAGCAAATTTTTCCGTCATTGAGACCGGTGAACAAATCGGGCTGTATGTCTGAAGCAGCCCATGGCTTACGATCCTTAGGAATCCAACTGAAAAATGACATTCTGCAGCAGTCTTGGCCTTTGGGAAACAATCTGTCATCCCCACAACATCCTAAGCATGACTTGATTACTGTAAGATCACATGCACACACACACACACACACACACACACACACACACACACACACACACACACACCCAGATGAGGGAAACAGAAATCTTAATTTTTGGCTCAGAGTTCAGATCTTAATCCACAGAGCATGTAAGGACCCACCCCACTTTGCATCTTAAGAAGACAGAACTCTTGGAATAATTCTTCCAACAGGCATCCTTTATTAAGAGAAAATGGTTGCAGGCGTTCTAGTCAGGACTTGGGGTCCAAGCTCTCCCATTCAAGGTTTTAAGGGGTTCCCCAGTAGCCCCACCCAATCACCCCCTTCTTCCAGCGACAGTCTCAGGCATTACACTCCCACCCCCTTTTCCTTACTGCCGGCGGAGGGAGACTTCAGAGAGGAGTACATGAAAGGTAATAGCCCCATTGTTATGGTTAGTTCTTTTGGTGATATCCACATCCAGTCCCTTTGAAGTGTACTGAAGGAAGTGAGGGCCATAAAGCCCCTTTGTTCACCCCCTTCCCTTCATCGTATGACAGAATCCAGAGAAGGCAGAAATGGGGTTTTTATAATTGATAACTAGAGATGAAATATAATTGGATTCTGATAGAGCAATTCTGCAGCAAAATCCTGGTTTTGCTTCTTCAAGGATGCTGTGTAAGTTAAAAGACTCGCTGTAGGCAGAGGGAAGAGAAGACAGCATAAATGAGGTTGACTTGTTGAAACCCCCCCCCCAAATGTGATCAAACATTAGAGCGGGGGGGGGGGGAATCACTCCAACCTCACATTGATGCAGAGCCTTTGCACAACGGATCTCTTTCAAACCACAAACGTTTTAGACAGGGGCTCGGCTGTTTTGCAGCTTTATAAAGTTGCTTATATTAATTTTCTCCAATCTGGTGCCCTTCAAGAATACTGCATTGCAGTTTATGTAGATCTTAGCCAGCATCCTCTTAGCCAAGGCTAAAAAGAGTTTGATCGTGTATAAGGATGGCAGATGAAACGCTTTTAACTTGGGACTTCAAAACTGTTTTCCCAATCACGAGAATATCAAATAAGCATTTGCTGAATAAAGGCAATAACTACACACAAGAACTGATGACAGGGCAACAAAATGCAGCAAGAACGTAAAAGTATTAACCGTACAAAAAGCTCAGAGAAAAGTCCGTCAAATGCTCAACCTCTGAGTACTGTGGACTCTTGATGAAAAGACATCTCCCCCCTAAAGGAAGCTGCAATTTTTAAAAAGACAAAGAGCCTAATTATGTTTGTGTGTGTGTGTGTTTGTGGCAATTGGCCACGAACATATAGTGGTGCTTCCAGTTTGAAACATCATCCATTAATCTCGCTTCCCTAAATTGTCTATCTGTTGGAAAAGACCCTCTTCCGTGGCTTTCTAACGGAACAATTGAGGCCAGTTTACAAACTTCAGAAGTTTCCTCTGCTGGTTTGTCTCCACCTATTTGAAGAAGCTTTTGTGAACGGGGAGCTAGCTAAGAAGTGTGTGGAGGTCTGCGCGTGCGGATGTTTCTAAGAGCCACCTATTCCAAATTGGCATGGAACAAGCAGGTTGAAGAATCCAGAAAAAGCATACATACCTGACTACGACAATGGTTAGTTTGACATCTTGCTGATCCTTTGGGCGTCTACGATACGCAAGCGGTCATATCTGGGGTAACCCAAAGCGTAAACAGAACGGCGTGTTGGTCACAATCGGAGCAGGCCGAGAGAAAGCCCAAGTGGAGCATCACCTGGAAAGTACAGAACATCTGCTGAATAGGAAAGCAGGTGCTTCCACTGGAAAAGCACTCTTGACCTTTGGCTCCCTCGTCAAGTTCAAGCCTCTCCCCTTCTCCTGGACTGAATCCTGAATCTCGAAGAAAAAGGAGAGAGAGAGACAGCGAGAGGCTGGCTTTTCATTCTTCGGAAGAAGAAAAGGTTGTGGTTAATGGACAGTGTTATCTGCCACCAGCTGCTTTGGGAAGTGTCAAATTCAGGCCATCTATCCTACTCACTACTTTGGCCAGTTGTCTGCAGGCCACTTCCATATTCCAGAAGGTGATGACCCATCTGGAAGACAGAAGGCATGTTGTCCAGGGACTGCTTGAAACTTGCAACTGAGGCAAAAATTCGGTAACCAGGATGACTTGGAACCACTTTTGTCAGGGTGAAAAACGTCTGTTTTAGGTATTTATTCATCCAGCTGAAGTTGACTATCAAAGGCTTGCGACTTGGGTCGCTAAAGGTTGTTTCGGTTACACAGTATGAAATACATTCTTCTCTGAGCAATTAAGATTAGATACGTCTTTCCATTTGTGGTAATATTTTTTTTCCAGAGGTTACTTTGTCAGTTGTAGGTGCTATGCTATTATTTCATTTCCCCATGTTTCCAACTAAACTGCAATTTAATTTCACTTCTACGTTATTTTAGCCTTTACATTTTTAGGATCTGATTATCCCTCTTTTGCTATCTTGGAGAGGAGAGCTGTGGGTTCTGGTATATTGATTCTTGCTATTAATATTTTAAATTTGATTTACTTTTCTCTTATTTTAAGCGGAAAACCTAAAGCAAGTTAAAAAAGCAGGAAAACACAGTAGCCATTACTGTACATAGCCACGGTCTACATGCAAAAGGAGGATGTCAGCAAATCCGAGAGAAATTGCTAATTAAACACAAAATAATGAGCAAAAAGACAAAATAAATCGCTTTCCCCAAATAACTCTTTAAACCTCTCTCAACAGCCCAGAATGCGAACAACAGCACGGTGATATAATGTCAACAACAGTGAATAATTCAGAAGTACAGGATGTGAAGTAAATCCAGGCATCTCGTAAATGAGCTGATCCACGTTAGAGCGGGGACTTTCCCAGAATCAAGTCCAGCCATGCCTTCGGATAATTAAACTGACTCTAGTTGTAAGCAAAATGTGGGGAAAGGAAAGGAAGGGAAGTAAAGACCGTCAATACAAAATATATTTTATATAGAAATAAGAAAATAAAAACCCACTGATTCCAGCATCCCAGGGACAAAGCATCCGCCCCAACGATGCCAGCAAAACTGTGGTCCACGGTCCAGATACCGTCTCAAAGATTTTCTTCGGAACTGACGCTCCTGTGGGTCAACGTACCCTCTTAGAGGAAACCAACCCAGTCAGCCTTTGATTGTCCAGGAGAAGCAGCAGCTGCAGGAGGCTCAGCCGGCTTCTAAACGCCCAATTAACCCCCTCTTGATTATTTATTCCAAGCATTGCATGTTCAAGGTCACAGTTGCTCTGCTCCCGCTAACGGTGACTTGCCTGTAACTGAATATTCAAAGCCATCCTAAAGTTACATATGTTTCCAGGGATGCGTCTCCTGGAGAGGACCAGCTGTGACTGAAGCAAAGCTACCCTCTGCCCTAAAGCTAGTTTCTGCTTTTTGGAGTTTCCGAGTTGCAACATACCCACCATCGGTTCCTTAAGCCATTCCCCTGCGACTTACACCTTCGGAGGGTGACATGTTCTAGGCGTCAGGATGAAAGGGGGTGGGAAGATCTGCAGGCCACCCAAGGCCTGCCCGAGCCACATCATGGGGCAGGGCGTGGTGGTTACATTCTGGCCATTGGGCTGTCCAGACCTGTCCGAGGTCCACAGATGTTCTCCTCAGCACGGCCTTGTGAAGTTCTGATGTCACAGAGGTCTCTCTAGGCCTCTGTGAGCAGAGCAGGCAAGATAACTACTCTGATGAAGGAGGGAAGGAGAACCAGAGGCAGGTCCAGAAGCACATCAACAACATGACGGAAACATCTGTGTGACTATGAAGCCAAACTTTTGAAACTGGTCACCAACATCACCACTCACACATGGGAAAATTAAGCAGGTGTACATTCTGTTGAGAGTTATGGTAGTTCAGGGTTGAGGGTTATGCTGTTTTGTAGGTGCCTCCAGACACTGTGGGTGCTCCATCACTGGAGGTTTTTATGAAGAGACTGGGCAACCATTTGTCTGAAATGTTATAAGCTCTCCTGCTTGAGCAGGGGGTTGGACTAGAAGACCTCCAAGGTCCCTTCCAACTCTGTTATTCTGTTAATGTGGACTTTGGAGACTTAGGACAAACAGGAGTCATGTTTTCTACCTACAGCAACTGACCAGGAATGGGACCAGGAACCGAGCACCTGGGCAAACCAGGGTATGTTTCAGGTTTTGCTGATGACATTTGTAATATAACTCAGAAAGATGGAGAGGTTTTTTTAAGCTCTATAACCCTTGATTGTCCACATTATTTTCCTCCCCTCATTCTGTTTAAGATGGAAGTAAACACGTATCTGTTTTTTTTAAAGTTTCCATTTAGCAGCCTGTAATCTCTCCCCTAAGGCATCAGTTGTGATCTGTCCTCACAGCTCTGCAATACATTTTTTAGCTACTGTACCCAGGGACTAACTTGATATGCAGATGAGCAACTACCGATGGGTGGGATGGTCAGGCATCTCTTTCATTCAATTATTTCTCTAACCAACAATGAGGCTCACTGAGGCAGAATCTCCACTAATGACCTCCGGCATCTTTTAGAGTCATCCAATTAGTGTTGTTTCAGAATAATTGTACAGCGGTCAATTTACTGCATTGGAAGAAAGGATAGAAATAATCTAAGCTTTTCTCAGGCAATGAGCAAGCCCACCCATTCTATCGCGTGTCACTTCCTGAATGCACTCTGGAAGCAGGCTCGAATGCAGTATCAGAAGACGCCGTGCCCGCAAAATGTCTCAGTTTCAGTTCGTTTTTTTTTTTTTTAATTCTTAAAAAAAAAGAAGAAGAAGAAACAACCCCCCCAGAAACTAAAGCTAGGAAATTTTCCCACGCCCCAAGAAAGCAATCTAGTTAATGTAACTCCTAGGACTATTCTTCCCTCTAACAGCCTGAACTAGTTCAGGACTATCAGTTTCACATTATTTTCTAGAAGTATCACTGCAAAGAGTTTTGGATAGACTTCTGTCTCAGATTTATAGCTGGAAATACTGGATTTTGGGGAGCTAAAGTCACCAAGGTTGAAAAACCATGTCCTAGAGCGAAACAGCAAAATTATGTCTTGAATGAAGCAAGGCAGATAAGCACAGTGAAAAAGTCTTGGGTCTATAGGGAGGAGGGGGGTTGGACTAGATCAGTGGTTCTCAACCTTTTTAATGCCGCGACCCCCCCACCGGTCGTAAGTCGAGGACTACCCAACCAGTCGTAAGTCGAGGACTTTCCCTGCCCGGGAGCGCCGCGCATGCGTGGTGCCGCCCCCTGCGCCGGCTGAGGCGTAGCTGGCAAGCAGCAGAGACGGAGCAGGCCAACCACTGTCTGGGCCACCAGCTGGCCCAGCCCAAGGGAGGTAAGGCACCCGCCGGAAAAGGGGAAAAAATGGCGGACAGCCTTGCTTGGCGACCCCCGTGAAATGGTCGATCGACCCCAAATGGGGTCACGACCCATAGGTTGAGAACCGCTGGACTAGATGACCGCCAAGGTCCCTTCCAAATCTGTTATTCTCTGTTCCATTGAGAGATCAGGACCCCCTTACCCAGCTGCCACCCACTGGTCCTGCTGGTTGGCATGATGGGGATTGGGATCCGAGAGGGTGCCACTGCTGGAGGGCAGCTCTAGCAACATTACCCACTGCTGGAGAAACTCCAAGCAGCTCATCCTGGCAGCCACAGTCCTCTAGAAGGATAGGGCTCCAATGCCCATCATTCCCAGCCAGGGCTCCAAAGAGGAGGGCGAGGGATGGGAGATAGGAGCCCAGCCTGCCTGGAGGGCACCAACTGGGAAAACTCCCATCACCTTTTTCCTCCCCTTCCAAAATTGGGATGCGCCTCAAGACCCATAATCCACCCGCGGCTGGGGATTATGGGAGGCGGGGCTCCAAGGCAAGAGATGCGGGGAGGCGTCTGGCAGGGGCTGGAAAAGGGCGGGGCCGCTCAGAAAGGGAAGAGAACAGCTGGGATGGGCGGGGTCAGCCGGCGGGGAGGAGTCAGATGGGCGGAGCCTCGGTATGCCCCGCCCTCCGCCCCTGACAGACTCACCTCGCCCCGGGTCCTTCAGGGTTTTGCCTCGCACGATCCCGGCTGATGACGATGGCGGCGGTCCCGGCCGCGTCCCGGCCCATCCCGGATGGAAGGAGCCGTCCCCGCAGGCCCCGCCGGCGGAGGATCCGTCGCCGCCGAGGCGTTGCCGAGCGAGCGGGCGAGCGAGCCACAGAAGCAGCACGGGGCCCCGCACATGCGCCCCGTCACGAGCTTTTGGCCCGGCCCTCAGGAGGGCGGACGTCAGCGCATGCGTCGGAGGACTGTTTTTTTTTTTTTTACCCACCCCCAAGGGGATAGAGGGAGGGAAGGGAGCAGCGCTCAAGTCAGGGCTTCGCGACGACTTTAGAGGGAGGAGACTTCCCCGCTTCTCTCGGTTTGCGGATGGGCCGGAGTTCTCGGGGGAGGGAATAAAACGCGCGTGGGTCCCTGGCTGGAGAGAAAGAAGAAGGAGGCGTTTTCCTTCGTAGCTCGTTGAATGACACGCTTCTTGCTCCGCAAATGGCGGCCGCCAAATGACATCGGAAATGACGTTTGTGGGAGCGCGCCGCCTTATGCCTCCAACTCTAAGGTGTTCGACTTCGGCTCGGCCGGGTCCGCGCCTGCGCAGAACGCACGCTGCGGCTCTTCCTTGCAGGATCGCTGCATTTCCCGGCGTCCTCCCTCCCACCTTTTTTGCAATGCCTCTGGGCATGTGCAGAAAGCTTTGGGCTCTGTTCTTCGCAGACTTCTTCCGGACTGTCTATGCGACCTTCCCTGCTTGCGAAGAATATATAAATATATATATAGCCCAGGACAACCTCGCGGGAAAAACTGTGCACCGATTATGCACAATTTGTATTGCAACGCAATAAAAGAACTGCGTGCAATTCTCATTGCAAGCTGCAAGCTTCGTTCACTGCTCGCTAGTTATGGGGTTCCCCTTTAACCGCAATTTCCTGCTTTGCTGGTGATGGGCAATAAATTGCAATTGCAATCCTTATTACAATTGCAACAACAGTAATAATTTCAGGTAGTTTGCTCGGTTTAAATGCCTCCCCTTTTGTATTCTTTCTGAGAATATTGATACTGCATGTATCCTGGTTCTGCCCACCTTGGAATGCAAACCGTCGAAAGAGTGAATCGCCTTAAAAATCTGAGAGTTAGTCCGTCTCCTCAAGACATGCCTGGAAGTGCTAGGTGTGGATCTGAGTTTTTTAAAAAAAGAAAGAGCTCAGATATAGACAAATACTTACAAGATGTTCATTTTCCTAAGTTAACAGATGATCAGAGACAAGAGATTAATGGATTTATTACTTCGGAGGAAATTATTACAGCAATTAAGCAATTAAAAGCAGGCAAAGCACCTGGCACTGATGGATTGACATCAATTTATTATAAAGTTTTGATTGATGAGATGATAGAGCCTTTAAAGGAACTTTTTAATAATATATTACAGGGGTTAGAGATTCCCCTGTCTTGGGGTAGGGCTTTTATATCCTTGATTCCAAAAGAGGATCAAGATCTTACTTTGCCAAAAAATTATAGACCTATATCTCTTTTGAATGTAGATTATAAAAATTTTTCAAACATTTTAGCTAACAGACTTATGATTGTATTGAATCAAGTGATACATATGGATCAAACAGGTTTTATAACTGGAAGATATATGAAGAATAATGTTAGACAAATTATTAATTTAATAGAGTATTTGGATAAAAATAATCAGATTTCTGCAGGATTGATTTTTTTAGATGCTGAGAAAGCCTTTGATCAATTAAATTGGCAATTTATGTTAAGATTGGTTGAAGAAATGAATTTTGGAGATAAAATTTTACAGGCTTTTCGAGGTATTTATCAAAGACAATCAGCACAAGTTATAGTTAATGGAGGTTTATCTGAGGTATTTCAAATTGAAAAGGGGAATAGACAGGGTTGTCCACTGTCTCCTTTGTTGTTTGTTTTAATGTTTGAAATTTTGTTGATAAAAATTCGTGAATCACCCAAAATAAAGGGAATAGAGATTAATAAAAATGATTACAAATTAAGGGCTTTTGCAGATGATTTGGTTGTTACTTTGGTTCAACCAACTCATTCTGTAGTGGAGTTGTTTCAACTGATAAATCAATTCGGACAAGTCTCCGGTTTTAAAGTTAATAATAATAAAACTAAAATATTACCCAAAAATATGACTAATTTGGATAAGGATACTTTGGTTAGATTGACAGGTTTTGAAGTTGTAAAAAAGGTTAAATATTTGGGGGTATATTTATCTGCTTCTAATGCAAAATTGTATAAACTTAATTATGAAAAATTGTGGTTTAAAATACAGAAAGATTTGAATGATTGGAAAAAGTTGCAATTATCTTTGTTGGGGAGAATTGCTGCGGTCAAAATGAATGTTCTACCAAAGTTTATTTTTTTGTTACAAATGATACCTATTTTAAAGAAAGAGGCAAATTTAGAAGAATGGCAGAAAGGTATTAATAAATTTATTTGGGCGGGGAAAAAACCAAGAGTAAAGCTTAAAATTATACAAGACGTTCGAGAGAGAGGCGGACTCAAGGTACCGAATTTGAAACTGTATTATGATGCGGTGGTTTTAACATTGATTAGTGACTGGATTAATTTAACAAATGTAAATATACTCCTTTTGGAGGGATGGGATTTATTATATGGATGGCATGCCTATTTAATATATAATAAAAAGGTGGATAGGGTTTTTAAGTCTCACATTTTAAGAATTTCTTTATTGCGAGTTTGGAAGAAATATTATAGAATAGATTCTAGAATTCCATTGTGGGCAATTCCAGGGCATGCGATAGAAGGAATAAGAAAAGGAGTGAAGATGGATAGCATTTCTTATAAACAATTACTTAATTGAGATGGGAAAAACTGGCAATTAAAATCTATGGATGAATTATTACAAGAAAATATTAATTATTCTTGGTTTCAGTATAGACAATTATTAGAAAGGTGGAGGATAGATCAAAAAGTGGGTTTGATTAGGGAGGATGTGATTTTGTTGAAACAAATTAAAGATCAAAGTCGAACTCATATAAAAAGAATTTATGATGTTCTAGTGGAATTGGATTCAGAAACAGAATTAGTTAAAGATTGTATGGTTAAATGGGCTCAAAATTTTGAAGAGCCGATTTTATTAGATACTTGGGAGATAATTTGGGTGAGGAATGTTAAATTTACACAAGCTCAAAATTTACGAGAAAATTTTTACAAAATGTTTTATAGGTGGCACCTTGATCCACAGAAGATGTCTCTCATGTATCCAAATCTGCAGCCTAAATGTTGGAGATGTGGTTGTTTGGATGCAACATATTATCATATTTGGTGGTCATGTAAAAATATAAAGGCTTTTTGGATTAAGATTTGGTGGAACATTCAAAGATTTTTTAATAGAAGGATAAAATTTACACCACAATTGTTTTTGTTAGGCATTATTGTTGATTGTGATGACAAAGAAATTATTTTAATGTTGAACTTAATTACAGCGGCAAGGCTGCTGATAGGGCAATACTGGAAGAAGGAGTTTTTGCCTACTTTAGAAGAATGGTTTCTTAAAGTTTCTTATTTATCTGAAATGGCAAAAATTTCGGCTTATTTGAAAGATCAATCGCAAGAGAAATATTTTTTGGTATGGAAAAGATGGGTGAATTTTATACAGCACAAATATGAGATTAAAAAGTATTACTTAGCTTTTGAATAATTTATGTTTAAGGTAACGATTAGAACTATTGTTTTTTGTTTTTATATATTGGAGTTAAAGTATTTAAAATTTTGTGTTTTTTTGAATGTATTTATAATTGTTTGATGTTTATTTAAGTTGTAAGGTTTTTTTTTTAGTTTTTATTAACCCTGTATTCAGCTCTGGGAAGGTGGGGGGAGGGTATGGGGGGAAGGGGGTGGGTGGGAGAGGGGGATTATTTTATTGTAAAACTGTAAAAATTTTCAATTAAAAAAAAAAGGAAAAAAAAATTGGACCACATCTGCAAAGTGCCCGCGCAACTCGCGAGCACCCAAATATATTACTCTTTAAGTCCGGCAATGGAATTTCAGTAGCTTATTTCACGTCATTTCAGTGCTTTTCCAAATTGAGAACTTCCTTTGGCAAAATGAATAAATGTTAAATGAAGAAATTGACGTTTCTCTGTGGACTGAAT